ATGGTACATTCCCGGGTCACCACCTCACTGATGGCAGAATAGCCCTTCTTGCCACCCTTCTTTTCCGGAGCCATTCTGCCAGGCCCGAGTTGGAAAGGAAAGCCAGTTCTCTTCTACCATGTGGACCCTAAGGACAGAACTCAGGTTGCTAGAACTCAGAAGACTTGGTGGCAAGAGTTTTTACTCACTGAGCCATCTTGTTTCATCAGGTTTTGAAAATTGCATTCACTTTTATTTATCTAGGAAAGCAACCTCTTTTATGTCATACTTACTAAAAAATATGCATCGGTTTGCTATTAAAATTTTTTTTGATTCATTATAATTTTATGTGCATGAGTGTTTTGCTTGTGTGTATGTAACTGCACCATGTGTGGTGCAATGCCTGTGGAGGCCAGAAGAAGGTATGGGATCCCCTGGAATTGGAATTATTGACCACTGTAGCTGCCATGTGGGTGCTGGGAACCAATTCCAGGTCCTCTTTCAAGAGCAGCCAGTGCTCTTACTGCTGAGTGTCTCTCCAGTCCCAATTCTTTCTATTTTGAGACACAGTCTTGTGTATCCCAGGCAGGCCTTGAACTCTGGGAGCCAAGGAAGACCCAGAATTTCTGATCCTCCAGAATGCTCAGATTAAAGGCATGTGCTTCCCCACCCAGTTTATGTGATGCTGGAGACTGAGCCCAGGGTTTAGTGCATATGAAAGCAAGCATTCTATCAACTGAGCCACATCTCAGCCCTTAAGTTTATTTTTTGACCTACATACCTCTATTTCCCTTTGTAATTTACTTAAATGCTATTAAGTTAAAAGTCTTTTACCATTTCCTAGTTGGATATTCATCTATAGTTATCTCCCAGCAAGAGCATTTGTCCTGTACTCACAAAATGTTTTCTATTTCCAAAGACCTGTAATGCAACATTTATTATTTACTAATCCTTACTCATTTCCAAAACCTTTTAATTTTTCTTCCTCTTGACACAGGGTCTTTCTCTGTAGTCCTGGCTGGCTTTCAACTTATAACCCTCACGCCTCAGCCTGCAGAATGTTGGGATTTCAGGTATGTGCCACCACTGACCAGCACAAAGTTCCTTCAAACCAGGCAATGCCTACTGCTGGATGCAGTGGTACAAGCCAATTAATGTCAGCACGTGGGAAGAGCAGGCTGAACCAGTAGACAAGAGTTCTACCACAGTGCTACACCCCAGGTAAACACCTACAATCCCTGCACGAAGGAGGCTGATAGAAGAGGATCATGAGTTTGAGACTACCCTGGCCTACACAGTGAGAAATCATCTGAGAAAAGAAAACAACCAAGACAAAGGATTGAACTGAGTTTCAGATCAGCCAGGGCTATGCAGTGAGACCCTGTCTTAAAAACAAACAAAACCAAAAAACAAATCCATACAAGGACAGTATGGTTTATGCCCAAGGGTTCTGTACAATGACAGCTTGTTCCACCTTCCAAAATTATGTCCTGCCTACAGATCACAGTAGACTGTAATCTTGGATTAAATCACTGGCTAAAATAAAACAGTTCAGAATATTGCAGACTATGTGGACGTCAGGTCCCTGTGCTCTGTTCTCTTGGAAATGATAAACACTTCCTAAATACAGCGATACTGTCTACTGTGGGTTAGTGGTGCAGCACACTGGGAACAGACTGTTCAGTAATCTGTAAGAGCAGGCCATTGAGGAGGGCATGCAGCATTGAACACACCCATCGTGTCCAACAGGAGGACATAAAAGGACGGGACTCAAGCTTTAAAATACACACACTAGGGGCTGGAGAGATGGCTCAGCGGTTAAGAGCACTGACTGCTCTTGCAGAGGACTGGGGTTTGATTCCTAGCATCCACATGGCAGCTACGAACAGTCCTTAACTCCAGTTCCAGGGGAATCCGAAGCCCTCTTCTGACCTCCACAGCACTGCACGACATGGGTGCATTCACATACATGCAGGCAATACACTCATACACTAAGATATTTACTTATTAAAAATAAATAAAATAAAATACACACACTACGGGCTGGGGAGATGGCACAGCTGCCAAGAGCTGCTCGTGCAGAGCCGGAGTTTTGTTCCTACCATCCATGTTCCACAACTCACAACTGCCTGTAACTCCAGCTCCAGGGGGACCTGGAGACTCCAGTCTCTGCAGGCATCTGCACTCGTGTACATATACACACATAATCAAAAAAATAATAAAAATAGAGTCTAGAGAGATGGCTCACTGAGTGGTTGAGAGCACTTACTGCTCTTGCAAAGGATCTGAGTTTGGTCCTCAGCACCCACATTGAGCAGCTCACAGAGCTGCCTGTAACTCCAGCTCCAGTGGGATTATACCTGTGGTCTCCATGGGCACTACTAGCACATACCTACACACAGATACACATACACATAATAAAAATAAATCCTAAATAAAATAAATCATAAAAAATTATAAAAACCTGAAAAATTAGATAAATCTTTAAAAAAAAATACACACTAGCACAGCTGTGGTTCTCCAACTTCAGAATTACCTGCAGCACCTGATAAAAGACTGAATTCTCAGCCCAAGTTCCTAAGTCAGTGGGCTTGGAGTGAGAGTCTACTATTGTTGGATAAAAACACAGGATGTCCGGGTAAATGTAAATTTCAAAATAAATACTATTTATTGTTTGGGGCATATGTTAGGAAGAATGCTGCAAGTTTAAAGCCACCCTGTGCTACACTGTCTCAAAAGCTAAACTTTTCTAAATCTGATAACTCTGAAATTAGCATTGTCAGCAGATTTTGAAGTGATGTTAACTCTCCCAGCCCAAGGACCCTAGGTAGAGAACACCAGATATATGATCAATAAGGAAAAATTTGAGAAGGAAAGATTTGTGGAAAACGCCAGTCAGGAAAGGTTTGAGGGTCAGGCCTGGTGGCCAGTGTCTTTAATCTCAGAACTCAGGAGGTAAAGGCAAACTCTGTGAAATCGAGACCAGCCTGGTCTACATAGTCTACATAGCAAGTTCCAGGTCAGCAGAGGCTACAGGGAACCTTGCCAGAAAAAAAAGGAGAAGAAAAAGTCTGATATTTTAAGGAAACTACAACCATCCAGCTCTGAGTTGCCACTGTGTAAGTTTTACTGCAGGTGGTGGTGACTGACCTGACATATGCTAAGCACATGGAATTTGGCCCTGTTACATCACTGGGGTAAATGCTGGAGAGCAACTGAAACAGTTTTAAGCAGAGCAGGGGCTTAGCAGGTTAGAAAGATTATTTAAGTGGAATATTAGAGGTACCAGGATTGTCTGTTAAGGAGTATTTGAAATAATCATTTGTGGAAGCCATTTTTATCCAATTCTGCACATAGGAAAGGGAAAGAAAAGTAACAACACTCAATCCATCCTGAAACTATGAAATTATCAGCACTTACTGATAAATACAAAAGACAGAAGATCACACAGTAGACATCTAAATTGTAGAGATACCAAATAAAAATGGTTAACGCTGCAATTAAAATACATTATTTGAAGTTTATTAAGTCTAAATCTGATGCATGTCTTAAAATAAAATTTGGAAACAAGTACTGGCATAACAGCATTCCATAAAAAAATGAACATTAAAGTAGCTTACTACCCAGTCCCATCTTTCTGCATGGGCTGTTACATGTGCTTGTGGCCTTCCTACTTGTCAGAAATCAAACCCACTACACAATGGAGTCCAGACAGGCTGAGACAGGGCTCACTGTTAGTATTTCTAATCCTATTCTGGGTGTTAGAAACCCTGGAAGTGAGGCCTATTTAATCTGCTGTTTTCTCAAGTGTGGAATGAGTGAGAACAGGTGATGCAAAGCACAATGCTTTCTACCCATCTTCAAGAGACACCTACTTCAGACAGTATTCTGCACAACACATGTGTTCAGTGTGTATGCTGTAGTCATGTAAATATTCATGGTTTAACCAAGATTGCTCATCTGAGATGCTGGTCCTGAAAGAGCTGACAAAAGTATTCCTTTCAGAGTCAAAGAGATGGCTCAGCAGCAGGTAAATGTGCTTGCTGCCAAGCCTCATGACCTGAGTCTGATCCCCAGGACTCACACGGTGGAAAGAGAGAACCCCTCCACAAAGTTGTCCTCTGACCTCCACACACATCCTGTGGAACATGCAGGCCCACCCCTAAAATAAATAAATATAAAAATATGAAAAAAATTCCTGGGGCTGCAGAGATCACTCAGGGCTTAAATTACTGGCTGCTCTTGAAGAGGATCCAGGTTCACTTCCCAGTACCCACATGTAGTTAACAACTGTCCATAACTTCAGTTTGAAGAAATGTGACACTCTCTTCTGGCCTGTGTGGGCACTCCATGAGCATGGTTGCACTTACAGACATACAGGCAAAACACCCATACACATAAAATTATATATAAATTTAAAAAAAGAGAGATATTCCTTTTAGTGGCTTTTCTTGGTGTGCGTTTCACTATGGCACCAACAACTAAAAGAAATTTAAAGTGCTGCTTTAGAATGCCACTTGCTTTCATAGTTCAAAACTGAGAATCAATCAGCTTTGTGACCAGCATAAAGTTGCTTTGTGTATACTCATTTTTCCTTATATAAAACAGGGAGGTATACTGTAGCCAGGGATCAGGTGGCACTTAAAGAGACCTGGAGATGAGAAGCCCCAACACTGCATAAACTGGGCACGGTGGTGCAGGACTGCAATCCCAGTACCTTGGGGGAGGGGGTAGGTAGGAGAATCAGAGGTTCAAGGTCATTCTTAGCTGTCTAGGAGACCCTGTCTCAGAAAAGGAGGAAGGGCCAAGACTTCTATTCCAAAGGATAGTTTGGCTGAGGAATGGGACGCTGGATGGAAGAGACTACCGCACAAGATGAACAGACTCAGCACAAGACTACCGCTGAGCGTTCGCCTCTGCACAATACCAGGGACGCTTGGGCGTGGGTTAGGTCATGTGCTGGGATGAACACTGGTCTCTCCAAGCCCTCTCTGCAATCCCGCCTCCCACAAAGGCCATACCTGTAATCGCAGAGCTTGGGCTGACTGCCGCACTGCTGCCTGCAGAGCATACAGTAGCTGCACAGGGGCACGTTGCCGCGGATCCAGTGGTGGGGCATGGCGTCCGGCGGCCTGCCGTCGCTCTTGAGCATGATCTCCTTGCACGGGAAGCGTTTGTCGGCCTTCTTGAGGCAGCCCTCGTCCACTCGGAGCCCGCAGCAGTCGCAGAAGGCGCCCTGCAGGATGTGCTGCGCGCACACGCAGCAGTAGGTGGGATGGCTGAACAAATCGGTGTCGCGCCACCCGTGCTTGCTCTTGCGGAAGATGTCCCTGCGATGCAGCTGTCGGCGCGAGCGCTGCAGGCTGCACCAGAAGGTGATGAACACGGGCAGCAGCACGGAGCACAGCGTCCATAGGACCAGGTGGCCGTCGGCCAGCAGACCCTCGGCGGGCCGCCCTGGCCGGTCCCCGTCCATTGTCCCCCAGGCCCGCGTCGCCTAGGAGCTCGCCCGGCTCGGGGAGGTCGCGCTCGCTTCAGGTCGGCCAGCCGGGCTGGGAGCGCCGCGCGCCGGCCCCGAGAAGCACAGGACGCAGTCGCGGGTGCAGGCCCACCGTCACAGCGTTTATAACGGCCAGCAGGCAGGCGGGCAGGCGGGCAGGCGGCCGGCCCCGCCCACGCCCCTCTCGCGAGGCCTCTGGAGCCTGCGCCTCGTCCAGCGCGCCCCCGGCCCTACCTCCAGACGGAGCCTCCCACCGGCGTCCGACCCTCGCGTAGCTGGGCCTGCGTGGGGTGAGGAGGCCGCGCGTGCCGAGCGCACCTGCGCAGTCGGTATAAAAGCCATCGGGCCGCCAGGCATGGGCTGGGCGGGGCTTGCGGCAAAGTGACCTGAGCATGGGCGGGGCCAGATATGGGGCGTGGCCCGAGGTGACGGGATTCCACTGATGGGCGGGGTTAGGTTGGGCGAGGCCTTTGGCGACGCAACTTGCTCATGGGCGGGGCCAAGTATGTGGCTAGGCCTTTAGAGGAGTGCTCCGCCGATGGGCGGGGTTAGGGTGAGGAGCGGGTTTGGGTGACGCAATTTGTTTATGGGCGTGACCATGCCTGGGCGTGGCCTAGAGGAATGTGGCTCCGCCAATAGGCGGGGCTTGGGTGAGGCGCAGCCTTCGGTGACGCCCCCTGCTTTTGGGCGGGGTCCGGTATGGAGAGGGACCCGCGGCGACTCGCCCCTCGGATGGGCGGGGTCAGCACGGGGCGTCGCCAGATCTGGGGACGGGGCGGACTCTGGAGTGGTCAGGAAAGCTGAAAGACCTTGAGGGGTCTGGATCCTGGAGGAGGGTGGACAGACATGGAAGGGGCAGGACAGTGTGGAAGGGGCTTGGCTTGGGAAAATCAGGGGCGCATTAACAATGAGGGTGTTAGGGTAGACTGTCGAGCGGCATAAGCTCGAAATCACAGAAAGTTCTAGTATTAAGTGATTTACAGTATATGGGATTTGGCATGGTTTGAATGTTGGAAGAGCAAAATATGGCTCTTTTGAAAGTGTTACAAATTGAAAGGCACAAGTCAAAAATTGCCGCCACCAGTGCCCTTGCTGTCATGAATGTATGTATGCATGTATGTATGTATGTATGTATTTACTTATTTATTTATTGGTGCTGGCAATGGAACCCAGGGTGTCTCCTGTGCTAGGCAATACTGCACTGAACTGTACCACCAGCCTTGACTGCTTACTATGTGCCAGCTACTCTGCCAAAAGTCACAGTTCCCACGTGGTCTCAGGCCCGTTGAAACCCCTAGCAAGAGTTATCAATCCTGTTGATAACAGCTTACTGCATTCCAGATCACTTTAAGTTGGTCATCCATGGGCCAGTGGGATCGTTTAGCAGGTAAAGGAGCCTTCCAACAAGCCTGACAGCTCAAGTTTGATCTCTGGGACCCACAAAGTGGAGGGAGAGAACTCTCACAAGTTGTCTTTTGACCCCCAAATGTGCTCATCCACACACATGCACACAAACACACATAAATAAAGAAACAATAAATAAATGTAATTTTTAGCTGGGCGTGGTGGTGCATGCTTTTAATCCCAGCATTCAGGAGTCAGAGGCAGGCTGATCTCTGTGAGTTCAAGGCCAGCGTGGTCTACATAGTGAGTAGACCATCTGGGGCTACAGGGAGACCCTGTTTCAAAAAGACCAAAAAAAAAAAAAAAAGACCTCCACAAATTTAAAAAATTTTTGACTTACTTATGCCTTATTTATTTATTTATGTGTTTTTGAGACAAGAGCTCCCTGTAGCTGCTCACAGAGATCTGCCTGCCTCTGCTTTCCAAGTGCTTGGGTTAAAGGTGTGCATCACCACATGTGATTGTTTTGTTTGTATGTGCATACGTTATCAGGTGTGTGTGCAAACCCATGGAGGCCAAAAGAGGGCATTGGATTCCCCTGGAACTGGAGTTATTGATGGTTGTTAGCTGCCATGTGGAACAGAAACTGTGTCTTCTGCAAGAGCAGCCAGTGCCATCTCTTCAGCCTTTAAATATATATAATGGTTTTTTTTGGTCTTTTTGAGACAGGATCTCTCTGTAGCCCCAGCTGGACTGGAACTTGCTATGTAGACCAGACTGGTCTTGAACCCAAAAAGATCCACCTGCCTCTGCCTCTTGAGTGCTGGGAGTAAAGGCATGTGCCACCACTCCTGGCATAAATATAATTTTAAAAAGGAGTTAATTCAATCATCCAGGTCAGCTTTCAGCCTAAACCGTGAAAGAAAGCAATTCTATAATTTACGTTGTTTTTTTTTTTCCTGTGGGAACCTTACTCTGGGGATCTTGCTAAAATGAAGATTCTGATTCCCTTCCTCAGGGAAGAGGCTGGAGATTCTTTTTACTTTGAGATAGACTTTCTAAATAGTCCAGGCTGGCTTGGAACTCAGAGCAGTTCTCCTGTCTCAGCCTCCCCTGAGTTGTGATTTATAAGTGTGTACCACCACACCCAGGATATTATTGTTTACATTTTCATAAGCATTAACCTTTTCATTTTATTTTTGTTTGTTTGTTTGTTTATTTATTTACTTATTTATTTATTTATTTTACATGTATGAGTGCCTGAGGAATGACACCCAAGGTTGACCTCTGGCTTCCACATGCATGCATGTGTGTAAGTGCACTTGGAGAAGAGAAGAGGGTGTCTGATTCCTTGGAACTGGAGTTATGGACCATTGTTAGCTCCCATGTGGGTGCTGGGATTCAAACTTGGGTCTTCTGCAAGAACAACCAGTGCTCTTAACCACTGAACCATCTCTCTAGCCCCTAACTTTTTCATATTCTTTAGATAAGTGTGAGACCCTAAGAAAATCATCCTAGACTGAGGAGTTGTTTATAATAGCAAAATAGTAACTACTGAACCATGAACTCCTTCATGCTAAGCCCCCAAGCTACACTCCTAGCCCCTAATTACTACTATCATAGCTAACCTGTGTTTACTAGTTAGTATATCTAGACACTGTGCTCCATTTATGACCCTCATTTTATCCGGGGAGAAACTTTGTGTGACATTAGCCCCAGTCAACTGGTTTGGAGCATTGACTAAAGCCGTGGTGCTCTTAACCTGTGTAGACTGTTTTGGGCATTTGGGGGAGCCAACTTCAGCAGCAGCATCACAAAAATGTGGATTTTCCTAGATCCTGACCAGGTCCCCTATTCAGAATTACAAGTTGAGCCTCCCCTACACCCTATCCTGGTCATTTATTCACTTATTTATTCAAAAGTTTTTTGTTGTTTAAATTTTGAGACATCTCATTTACAGAAGAACTGAAAACATATACATATGGTAACTAGGAGGATAGCTTAACTAGTAGAGTGCTTACTGTGTAAGCATGAGGACCATAGTTTGATTCCTAGGACCCACATAGAAAGCTAGGCATGGTGGAACATCCCAGTTTTGGGAGAGAGAGGAGAGTCCCTGGGACTCACTGGCTAGCCAGTTGTCAAAAAACAAAGTGGGGGTTGGAGAGATGGCTCAGCACTTAAGAGTGCTCGTTGCTCTTGCAGAGAACCTGGGTTCAGTTTCCAGCAGCCATATGGTGGCTAACAGCTGTCTGTAACTCCAGTTCTGGGGGATTTGACTTCCTCTTCTGGCCTCCTTGGGCATTGTATGCACAGGTGCATTTATGTTCATGCAAGTAAAACACTCATAAACACCAAAGTGCCTGAGGAAGGACAGCCAAGGTTGACCTCTGGCCTCCACATGCATGTGCTTACACACACACACACACACACACACACACACACACACACACACACACCAAACTCCAAGCAAACAGCTTTAAAAGTCCTAATAGAATAGACATCTGTGTACCATCTACAAAGGTTGACATATTGTACACTAACAGCAATTCTGTTTGGGCTTTTCTATGTGTGTTGTCTCGCTCCCCACACAAAGAATACCTATCCTGACATTATGGTCTTTATTTCTTTGCTTTTCACTAGTTTTACCATCCCTGAAAATATCCCTAAACAATACAGTTTTGAAAAATTGCAAAATAAGCCCAAACCTAGCCCTGTCTAGAAGTAGCAGTAAAGCTCGCCTATGTGAAGGTGCCCAGGAGGATTTAAGCTGAATGCCTCAGGGACAGATCCCGGATTCAGATTCACCAAGGAGACCCCACCCCAGGAAGTCAGTTGGGCAAGGTCTGGGTATGATTGCTTGTCATAGTGGAAATTTCCAAGCCTGACTGTAGTTTGAACAACTGCCAAAAATATGGTTGCGGACGGAGGATGCTGTGGAATATGAGAATGTTCACCTGACTCATGATGATCATGAGGTGATGGGGAGCAGGGTCCTCACCAGAGCTGAGTGTCCAGGGGAACAAAATCCAGATGTGCAGCTGTACCAGGCTCACCAGACACCCTGGCTTTAGCCTGGCTTCTTTCATTTACTGATAACTTTTTTCTTTTCTTTCCTTCTTTTTTCCTTTATTTCCTTCCCTCCCTCCTTCCCTCCTTCCCTTCCTCTCTCCCTCCCTCCATCCCTCCATGCCTCTGTCTCTCCTTCTTTCCTTTTGAGGCAGGTTTTGTGAGGTTTTTGTTTTTTTTGTTTTTTTTTTGTTTTTGTTTTTGATAGGCTGGGTGTAAACTCCTGATCCTCCTGCTTCCACCTACCAAGGGCTGGGATTCCAGGTGTGCACCACCATGATTAACTTATTAATGTGCTTTAAAGGCTCTTCCATGTCCGTTGGTGTCTTGACAGCTCATTTGTCTTAGTGCTGAAAGGTACCCCACTGTCTGTGTATACTCCAGGTTCTTTGTCCATTTTCCTCTGGAAGGATATCTTGGTTGCTGCTAAGTTTGGCCATTATGACTCAAGCTTCTGTGAGCAGCTGTGCACATGTTTTCAGGTGGACATAATCCTCAACTTGTTTGGGTAAATGTCTTCTCTTTAAAAAGAAAGATTTATTTTATTTTTATTTATTTTTAATTTTATGTGTATGAGTGTTTTGCCTGCGTGTATGCAATTGCACCCATGTGTACAATGCCCATAGAGGCCAGAAGAGGGCATCATATCCCCTGGAACTGGAGTTACTGATGATTGTTAGCTGCCATCTGGGTGCTAGGAACCAATCCAGGGTCCTCTGCAAGAGCAGCCAGTGCTCCTAACTATTGAGCCATCTCTCCAGTCCCTTCTTTTATTTTAGTGTGTGTGTGTGTGTGTGTGTGTGTGTGTGTGTGTGTGTATGTGCACACACTTGAGTGCAGATGCCCATGGAGTCCAGAAGAGAGTGTCACATTCCTTGGAGCTGGAGTTATAGGTGAGCTGCCTGATATGAGTTCTGGGAACTGAA